ATCAAATCCCACGTGCATTCACTTGCCTCACCCTGCTCAGAGACGGGACAATAGTACTTGTTGCTACTCCAGTACCCATGGCTACCGCAGGGCAAGAGCTCCTCCTGAGCTAGTGGCCGGCATAACTCAGCACAACTCATCATATCGGGGAAGCAGACTGCCTTAGCAGGGATTTATAGATCAGGAAGCTGACATGTTAGGAGGTTACCTGGTTCACAAAGCTTCTAGGAAGAGGAACTGAGATTCCCATTCAAGTCTGATTTCAAAGCTCACACCCTGCCCGGCAAGTGCAGGTCCTGAGTTCAATTCCCGATGCCCCACCCAAAGCCCATGTTCTTTCCAGCGTAAAATGTCAATCTGAAACAATAATTTTAAAGCACAGCTCTCTATCCTATGTATTTTTTCATCTAGATACGAGAAGTATCTTATGCATTAACGTACTAGGTCTCAAGACAGAAAATTAAACAATCTCACATTTGTAAATCAAGCTTAGCCTGAATTTCTTTTTCCTTTATCTCTGCATTATGGAGAATTTTAAACGTGTACAAAAGTAGCTAAAACAGTGTAATAAGTCCCAGGTATACATCATTTAGCATCAAATGTCAATTTATAATCAATTTTGTTTCATCTACAGACCACTGTTTTTTTCTCTTCTCCCGTATTATTTATCTGATTTTATCCTTAAATATCACCTCTCTATGGACTTTTTAAAAAACATCCCGAAGGGGCTGGGGATTTAGCTCAGCGGCACAGCGCCTGCCTGGCAAGCGCAAGGTTGTGAGTTCAACTCCCGGTACTGGAAAACAAACAAACAAAACAAAACAAAAAAAACCATCCTGACTATAATACCCCTAACACAAGTAACAGTAGTTTCTTAGTAACATAAAATAATGAGTAAGTTTCCAAATTCCTAAAGTTCTCATAGATGTACATTTTTTATAGCTTGACCTAGCTACACACAAACCCAGATTCATAAGCCCCATAAATCTTTTAAAATCTATAGTCAATATGGCTTTCTGATAACATTTTAACAATTCACTTTGTGCTATTCGCTTTTGTCAAGCTATAATTTCGGGCATCAATTTATTCTGAAATGGTCTGTAATTTCAAAGTGAGATTTTTTAAGATTCACAAAGTAGGATTCTTTTTTCATATTGAAGTACATAGGATAATTTTCTCAGAAACCTTATCCACCACCCGTGCGGGTTCTCAAAGAATCTTCAAGCTTGAGACAAATTTCACTGGCCCATCTTTACCACCATCGTAAATGTAACAAAGGACTCGACAAAAATATGACTTTGTTATATCTATTTATAATATTTCTATGGTCTGTCCTAAAGTTTTATTTAACTCTTGTGCCATTTAGTTTAGACTCTGGGGTGCATGCCAGAAACTTCTGTCTGGTTTTCATAAATATGTTTTATAGTGGCAGATTCTGAATTATAAACATTAGCTCTTGTAAGTGAATTTTTGATTTATTAAACTAAAACTGTTTATAATGAACTCATTTTATAAAAGGAAACCAAGGTAAAATGAGGGAAATCAATGCACTGCATGAGTTAAAGTGATCTTGTTGTCAAATTTATTTATTTTTTAAAATTTATTTATTCATTTCTTTTGCAACAGGGTCTCACTCTGCAGTTCAGGCTGGGCTTGAATTCACTACATAGCCCAGGCTGGTCTTGAACTCACAGTGATCCTCCTGCTTTAGCCTCCCAAGGACTGGGATTAGAGGCATGTGCCACATCGACCAGCTTGGCATCAAATTTAAAGGGCAAACTGGTATTTTTATTTAGAACAGTAGGTCAGTATCAACTTTTAAATATCTGATCCCTACAATGGTACCACTTCCACAGCAAAGATTCCATTGGATTTTCTTTGCAACTTGAAGTGAAAAATAAAGCAGAAAAAAGTTTTAAAAGTGAGCAGGAGTTGAATTAGCAAGGTAATTCTATGTAAAACTCTTATAAAATAAGAATAAGAAAAATAAAGCAATATTCTTATTGTAAAATAAAAACAAGCCTTTTTTCATGTTGCCCAATTATATTAAAAGAACTCTTTTAAAAGCTCATTAAAGGCCAGGCATAGCGGCACACACACCTATGATCCCAACATCTGGGAGGCTGAGGCAGAAAGATCACTATGAGTTTGAGGCCAACCTGGGCTACATAATGAGTTCAAGGCCAGTCTGAACTACACAGTGAGACCTGGTCTTAAAAACAACAACAAAAAAGCTCACTAAAAGCATTCTTCCATTCATGCTTCCTTTATATTAAAGTAATACATTCTTCGGATTAGATTTTCTTTTTCTGGCTTTCTTCTTATCAAATGAGCATGTTAGGAAGTTGACAGTGGACCAGTAAGAAAACCTGGGTGGAAATGACAAGGGAAGGAAATGCCTTTGCCGTGTTGTTATTATAAATACAAAGTACTTTTTCTTAGTGTCTACTATGTCTAAGCACTGTGTGCAATCACTAATCCCCTCGTAACGAGACAGCAAACTACAGCACGGAGAGTGAGGGCTCCGGAATGAAGGAGTGCATGATTTCTCACGGGGGCGAAGGAAATGTTGTGAAATTAGGTAGTGACGACGCTAAAAATCACTGACTTGTACGCTCGGAAAGGATGAGTTTTATGGTATGTGAATTATACCTCAATAAAGCTGTTACTCTGAAAAATATGTGCTACTAAAAGATCTCCAAATAAGAGATCTTTTCTGTTTTAAGATAATGTTCCTCCCAGGCATGAGAACCGGTTTAGTCCAAATACCCTGAGAAACCTAAGCGCGCATTTCGGCACCGTGCCAGAGTGAATGAAACTCCCTCGTGGCCTCTCTGCAGAGTCCCGGCACAGGTAAAAATGCTGGGAAAGTGTGAGGCAATCGCGTCTGTCCTTTTTCACTCCAACCCTAACACTGTTTGGTTTCCCTGGGCTTCCTCAATCTCCTGCTGGGTGTTCCCTTTCTCATTTATTCCTGTCGGTTCGCACCTTGGGTAGACCAGTTGTTTCTCCTACCCATCCCGCGGCTTCTGAAACACTGTGAGCTCAGAGCAGATCCGAGAGGCCAACGGAAAGTGCTTCTCTCTCTCCGCGTCCCAAAAAACGGGGATGCGAAGCGAGCAAGGCTAGGGGCGGGAATGTGGGGGTCTCGACTTGATTTTTCCTGGCATTTACTGCCGGGCAGATGAGCAAAGATTTTGCTGCGTGTAGTCCATCGCTGCTGAGAAACAGATACCATGTTGTGTTCAAAAGAAGCTCTTTTCAGCCGTCTGACCTCTGTCATCTACAGAGAAGGGCACAGAGAAGCGGCCACGCGCTGGAAGACGACTGCAGTGCCGCCGTGGTAAGAACCGGCACCCCGCGACCCAGGTGTTTGGGTCCCGCAGCCTGAGGTCGCGCTGCAGAATTCTCTTCTCTCAGCGCACTTCCGCACCGCGTCCCCGACACGGATTCCCTACTCCTCAGGTGATTAATTCGACCCTCACTGTTCCATTCGTTTCTGCCGATTCACAATCATTTTCTGCCTCTTGTGCATTTTGGTTAACATCTGTTAAGCCCTGGACTCTAGGGCCCTGCTCTGAATGGTGCAGTTCACATTTTGCAAAGCAAAGGGGTCCATTACTACCTCTCCCTCACTACCGCTCTGGTGCGTGCTCAGCTGTGAAACCCTTTCGCGCTCAAGTATATAATATTGTTTGTTTTTTGTTTTTCTTCCAGTACCAGGAATCGAACTCACGACCTTGCGCTTGCCAGGCAGGCGCTTTTGCCACTGAGCTAAATCCCCAGCCCCTCAAGTATATAATAATACATATCGCATTATTAAGACTACTATAAAGTACTTTCACTTATCAGAGCAAAAAAAAGGCTTTAAAAATATGAGATTTTTATTTCCTAAGTTGGGCTTTTGAAGAGAGTCTTTAGAAGAAAGCTTTATACAGGCTTGAAATACATTAATGCAAAATAAAAGCTGGAACAGTAAGATCTATAAAACTGGTATTATATAGGTCACTATTTCATCTCTTTAAAGTATTACAACTCACTGAGATTGGATATACTGACAACATGAAGAAAATAAAGACACACTGGAAAAGTTCATAATTGGTTTTAAAAAGTTACAGAGCAAGGCAGTTCCTAAAGCTACTGGGAGTTTGATCTGAAGCTCTTTGATTCTGAGAAAACGGCAACCCTTTATAGAAACTTTAGATAATTAATATTCAGGATTACGTCCCTGACATTCCCCATCAGAGTACTAGAAAGAAGGGCGGCCCGTGGTACTCGGACACCCCCTCACACCGCGTGAATCTAAAAAAATAATTCTGATATTGAACTTTTAAAAAATGTGTTCTAATCCTGTGCTTTTTTTTTTTTTTTAAATCTGCACACAGCTGTCTGTTGTACTTTTTAGACTCACACCAGATGCTGAGTTCATCAGGCAAAAGCAGGAAAACAATGGCTGCGAAGCAATTAGAAGCAGCGAGGCTGGGGCGAGACTCGTATTAAAACGTGATAACACGGTCCAGGTGGGAATTTCAGCACAGCCCCATCTTGACATTTCCCCGCTGCCAGGCAGGCGGGCTGCGCGGAAGGGCCCGAGATGGAGGCGGAAACGTACTGGAATTTATTTCTGGAGCAAATGAAGGATTAGCCGAGTTGGAACCCTCCCAAGGTTTTTATTATGGACTTGGCCATCATTTTACAGGAATGCGATTAGATCTTGTTGGCATCTAACAAAGTCTAAGGAATGAAAGCGTATCATAGCTCCGGTTCAATAAAATAATCTAGCATCGTAAAATAATCTAGCAGAAGGCAAAAGCAGAGCGCCTCTTGTGGCTGAAAACCAGGGTAGGGGGCCCCAGCAGGGTGAAGGTTAATTAAACACTCCACTAACTTTCCTCAGCAATGGCTAAGGCCCTCGGCGGAGAAGCCCAGACAGAAAAGACAAGTAAACAACACCCTCTGCACCTGTCTGACACAGCCTTACACAGTCACACAGCACTCACCTGGAGGCGGGGTATCCCAGTAGTACCTGAAATACAAGAAGAAAAAACAGAGATAAGTCCAACATGGGTTCCTTAATTGTGATTGACATACAGTGGCTGTATCGTCCAAAAAGCTCGCTAGAGAGTCAATTATCTGTCCAGTCCTAGTTTTGTTTGAGAAAAATAAGAGTTGTCTTTGAAATATGAATTTTTTTTTTAGGGCCAGGGATATAGCTTAGTGGCACAGCGCCTGCCTGGCAAGTGTGAGGTCATGAGTACAATTCCTAGTACCAAAAAAAAAAAAAATATATGAATTTTTTTTTCAGTGCTGGGCATTGAACCCAGGACCTTCTGAGCTCCCTCGTTATCCCTTTTAAAAATTTTTAAAATTTTGAGACAAGGCTTCACTAAATTACTGAATCGCTTAGGCTGGGATTGAATTTATGATTCTCCTGCCTCAGCCTCCTAGAGTGCTAGGATTACAGGCAAGGCCACCATGCCTGGCTTTGAAAGATTCTTAAAAGCTGCCTGAACACACTGCAGCTCACAGGTAATCGTGACTTCACAGCTGGAAAAGCCCCAAGAGGAAACTTCCCAAGTGTGCTAGCCGCTCCGGGCAGGACAGTTCTTTGCGGAAACACTTCCCAGTTGTTGTGACAACCACATCCCACCGACACAACAGCAACACAGCCGCAAACGCCTGACACCTGAATTCCTCACTCTGTGGGCTCGGGCTTGCCTTACATTTGAATGTCCAAGCCAAGAACTGTGGACCGATCGGCAAGACTAAGAACTCTCCAGACAGCCGCGGTGTCAAGCACCGTCTGTAGGCCACGTATCTGGAACCCGACTTGCGCTTTTTCAAGGGACAGCGTCGCACCCACAAACGCCTTCTGCACAGAGCCGGAGGTCGTTCTCTATTGATTTTTTTCTCTCCTGCGCCTTCCAGCTCTTCTCCGCTCAGTCCTTGCGGCGGCGTCTCTACTCACACGGAAAGGAGCAAGCCCTCCGCAGCCCGCACAGCCTCCCCGCCGCCCGCGATGTCACGGGAAATAGCACCGCTCGCCCGGCTTTATCAAGTTCCTAAAGGCCCCCGGCCCACGCCGCTGGGGAAAGGCCACAGGTAGGTGACAGCGCCCTGTCCACCCACGTGGTAGGTGTCTACCACGTGGAGCCCGACAGCTGGTCTGGCTGTGCGCGGGAGACCGTCTGTCTCTCTCCCTCCCAGAACAGTCCTGGGCTGACCTTCAGCAACGGAGGGAGACGGCAGACCACGGGGCTGGGCACAGGCGAAGGTCAGCGGCCGCGCCGTCGGTTGGCGGGGCGAGGCGGGAAGCGGAGGGCGCTGACGCGGGAGGTGGCGAGTGGGGCTCGGCGTGCGGAGGGACTGTCGCCGGGTCGGTCTCCACCTAGCAGTTGGTGCCCCTTCTCCCCCACAAACTCTTTTTTTCTGTAAAGCACCGCTAATCAAGCAAATCACCGAACGGGTGATTTTCTGCAATTTTCCATCCTTTCTTGAGGCTTTGCCAGAGCTCCCCATTCCTAGCGCTACCTAACTTCTAATTTAACAGAAGTGAAGGTGCTAGGTGCTAGCACACACACATACATGTGCACACGCACACCCCTCTTCCCAAAACGTTCTCAATGGCAACAGGAGCCGGCGGTAAACAGGAAGAATATTTATTGATGATCTCGGGCCTCCTTCCCGCCTTCCTCTCCCACGGCCCCCGCTGCAAACTTACACCGCTTTCCGGTTCCTGTCTGCCATGCGCTGGTTTTTCACTAGTCAAGCCGAAGAATGATGCTCTAAGTCCACAGGTGCTAAGAGCTTTGCCTCTGCAAACACCAGCTGTGTCGTAAGAAGGCTGATCATAGAGAAATGACTCAAATAGCGAATGCATACCACAAAAAGCAGCAGGGCTAGCTAAGTGATATGAAATAGCCAAACCTGCGTTCTTTCCGATCATTCTGTAATTAAATATTTCTGTCAAACTTTCAGTTATACGATGAACAGTTCCGAGGATCTACTTCCTGTCCAGCGGGATGGCTACAGTTAATAATACTGAATTATACACCTGAGATTTGCTGAGAGCAGACCTTACACGTTCTCAGAGAAGAGTAACCCATGAGATGATGGATGCATTTATTAACCTGATTATAGTAATAATTTCATGATGCATATGTACATCGGGTCATATTTGGTGGAGGGGCCTGAGATAGTCTTGCTATGCAGTCCAGGCTGACCATGAATTTACTATGGAGCCCAGGCTGGCCTCAAACTCACAGCAATCCTCCTGCCTCAGCCTCCTGAGTGCTGGGATGACAGGCGTGAGCCACCACAGCACACATACATCAGATCATGCCGCACATTTGAAATACAGGTGATTTTGTTTTTCATGCACACAGATATTTCTGCTAATAAAAATCATATGTTGAACCACAAGGAGCCGCATGAAGTAGGATACCGATTCCCCTCTTTTTCAGAAGATATGACTCTGTTTTGCTACCCCAACTTTTCTCCTTTTCTTCTTACTGTAAGTACTAATTAATGCAATAACCCTAAAGGACATTTGTTTAAAACAACAGCGGCGGCAGCAGCAAAACCACACTTTCTCCCGCACAGCTCACAGAAGACCCTTCCAAAAGGGAAGTGCAAAAGTGGGGCAGAGTCATCCCCCGCTAAAGGGCACCCACGTTAGTGTCTGCCGGTCACCTTGAAGGACTCGATCTTGTCCTGCTAAACACAGCCAGTGTTAAACACGCTAGTCACATTAGAGACATCCGTGGCCTCATCCTGCTCCCCGAAAGATAATTTTGCCCTGGAGAATTCTATGCTCTCCAAGAAGCATTTAGTGAAATCCTGCCAATATCTTCCAATTCTTACCTTTTGCTCTGAAAACAATTCTTTAGCCAGAGGGTCTAAAAAGCCCGGAACTAGAAATTTTAAATCGAAACCCGAAGGCTGCGAAGAAAAAGCAAGCAAACAGCAGAGAGTGGTGTTTATCCTCAAAGCCTCTGAGAATTTCCTATCAGGCCTGTGCGGATAGATAACGAACACTTCCTTAATCTTCTCTTTGAAGCTTCGGCTTCAATAGGAAAGGGAAGCTATCACTCCTCTGCAAGGCCTGTCCCCAGCACCGCCGGCTCCATGCAAATGGTATTTGGAGCTGAAAAAAGATGAGTGTGGAAAAGCAGACGGAGACTGCGGCCACATCTTGAGGACGAGGGTCCTCACATTTTGTCCAAGTGAACCCTGGCACTTCCCAAGATGAACAGAGGAGACCCAGGCTTGGCTTTGCTGAGGCCGCCTGCAGAATTGAGTCTTTAGATTTTAGAACTGAGCGACACGTAAGACAAAGCATGCTATTTGTGTTTTTAAATTAAAGATGTTGTTAATTGAAATTTAGTCTGGAGAAAGGTACAGCAAGTAGCTATTTTTTTTTGAAACAGGGTCTTGCTAAGTTGCCCAGGTTGAGCTCGAACTCATGATCCTCCTGCCTCAGCCTCCCAGAGTGCTGGGTTCACACGCATGCGCCAGCAAACCTTGGGCACACAGGACCGAGAGAACGGTGCTGTGCCGTAGTAATCAGAGAAGTAATAGTAACACCGGCACCCAGAGCTGTTGAGCAGTTGACAGACGCTTTTCTAAGCCCTTCCCTCATAACTGAGCTCCTCTCTCTTTAATGCTCACTCTATTATTAAGCCCATTTTCTAAATGAGAAAATTGAGACATCCAGAGATGAAATAACTTGCCCGCAGTTACACGACGACCCAGTGAGGCAGACAAGTTTCCAGGGCTAGCAACTGGTTTCTAAGAAACAAAGAAGGAAAGTCTTGCAAAGATATCCTGACACTAAAATACTCGTCAAAAGCTGTCTTTCTCTAAAGACAGCTTACTATTCAAAGGAGTCCAGTGACTCAGACAATGCATATATATTGAACGTCTTCTATGGCACCCTCTCAGCAGGAATAAGATGGTGGGAAGATAGGTGTGGTCCATTCACAGATACATATCATTATCTTTATTTTTTATTTTTTTATTTTTTTGAGACAGGGTCTTGATACGTAGTGCAGGCTGGCCTTGAACTCACAGCGATCCTCTTGCCTCAGCCTCCCGAGTGCTGGGATTATTACAGGTGTGCACCACCATGCCTGGCAACCTGTCACACTGCAGAAATGCTCTTCTAGGTTACTATTCCAAACTCACAGAATAGGTTAGTGAATTTCCCCAGGAAATGGACCTTAAGTCATTAGATTGTGGGCATGTTGGCAAAGGTGGTGATCAAATTCTTCACCACTGAGCGGCCCACTAGACATGGGATCAAAGTATTCAGAGCTTTAATCCCCCAGACAGTTAATTAGATAGATTCTGGTGCAATAACTATCCTAATATTGTTGGAAATGCCTAGGAAGCAAAAAAGAAACTAATTCCATTTCCTAATTACAACAAAATAGTTAACATATTCAGACCTTAGCATACGCTAGGCATTGTGCTATACATGTGTTCCACATATACATTATTTTATTTTATAACAGTCCCAGGAGGTCAGTACTATTTTATTCCCATCTTACAGATGAGAAAACCGAGACCTAGGAAAGTCAAACAACTTCTCAGCACATAGCTATTAAGAAGCAGAACCAAGATTTGTACCCAGGTCTGTTGGTTACAGAGTTCGAACTCTTAAATTCCACCTTAACTACATTCTGGTTGGCTGTGATACAGAAAACACACCTAGGAGTTAAGGGGAGGGGTAATTGCTTTGTTAGACGGCCTATGAGTACTAGGGAGTGGGTAGACCAGAAGTCTTTAACTTGGAGTCCACAGCTGGTTTCAAGGGAGTCATAAACTACCTAAAATTCATGAAAAATAGTACGTGTTTTCTGCTCACGTGGAGAGGAGTCCATAAATTTTATTAGTGAGAATAGCTCCCCCTCACCTACCCACCAAAAATGACAAGACCCACTGGTTTAGCTGAATGGGGCCTTAATGGCATTATAAAACTAGCAATCCAGAAAGGCCGACATCTGTGACGCTATAAATCTCAAA